CAAAATATTAGACACATATATGACCGTTCTTGTCAATGAGCAAAGCCAAAATATTTTAAGTAATTTACATAGACGACTCGATTTTATACGTAGGATAAGAAAATAATACGCAGGAACGTATTAAATGAAATTGTGTACATAAAAATTACAAAAACGCAAATTTGCTATCAGTTAAGTAGGTAAAAACATTATTTGGGAGCGTCGGTGGCCGCAACGGTTGAGCGTTGATACGGCACTCGTCACTGTACTGTGAAGATCCCGGGTTCGAATCCAGCGGCCCCGCATTCCAACCCTTCATATTTACGTTTGAAAATGGCATGTATAACCTGGCTACTAGATAAATCCACTAACATATAAAAAACTTGAAATACATACACAAAAATGTCAGAAAACCATACTTAACAAAACTTCATTTAAATTAACTAATTTTTTTCTCGGCTTCTAGCGCCCTTTGGGAAGAATGCTCGGACATGCGTCTAATATTTTTTGACCTAACCTAAACTAACTGAAATCGGTGTTCCCACCTCAGTAGGCTTCCACTTGGTTAAATTTAACTTCATGGTACGTCTATTTTCGCTTGTTCTGATTGATGATATTTCGCGTGTAAATCAAGTATATTTCAAAATTCAAACAATTTTTTACACGAAAGTGTTTAAACGTCTGGTTGCAAAATTTCAGGTAATTGGTAATAAAATTCGGTCATTCAACATTTCAGTCAAGTACACTACCGTCCTAAATATTATGTATTGAGGTCTCATGGTCGAGATTGTCTCAATTGAGTTCAATAAAGCTGCAGGACAAAATATTATATATTCTACCTATTCCCTTGATCTCCTACACAATATCTACACACACGCGCGCACGCACACACACACAAGCGCGCGCACAAAATAAAAAGACAATTGAACAATTGTTTAAACCGGCCTCATCTTCTAGTAAAATCACTGTCAACACGCATAAATGATTCCATTCGCATTTTTCGCCTATAGAAATAGAAATGGCCAATTAAATTATTATCGGACCTGGCTCGAATTTTTCCCTAGGCACGCGATTTACCACTGTTTGTCCGCCAACGGGCAAGAATCACGTGTAATATTTAAAAAAAATGGCATTGATAAATTATCCACTCCGAGATCTTTGCCCCGTGCATAATTAATTGATATTGATTGGAAATATGTTTAAATATAAAACATAATAATTAAAATAAACGTTAAAATACATACAATAAAATAAAGACTTAATATTTGAAATGAATTATTTTGACAGACCCTTTCGAAATAAATGGATCCTTTATTACGGTATACAGACTAATCTAAAATGAAACCAAGAGGCAGGTGTCCGAATTACGACCTAATGAAACCTCTAGGCCCCAAATCATCAAATGGATTGAAAGGTGCACAAATACACATATTTTCAGACAGTCAAGCAATACTAAAGGCTTTGAACTCCTTCATTTTCAACTTAAAGGTTGTCTTTGAATGCCTAACGCACTTCCACCTTAAAAAAAAAAAAATCTCTGAAGAGTAGGACCAGGACAAACTAACAAAGCCCGGATCAAGCCTGGCACTCTTTGGACAAGAACCGCAAATTGGCACTCGCCTTTAAAAAGGACTAAAAGCGGAACAAATGGATGGAGAAAGAAATGATTATGAGGTGCAAAACAATCAAAAAGCTCAACCAGGAAAACAAAAATATACCTCTCTCACAGCAGGCAAGAATTAAGTAAAACAATAGGTCTGTACACTGACCATTGTACATTCAATTAACACCTCAAAAAATTTAAAACCTGAGACATGCCATACCATGCAAGAGCCAGATACGTTGTAACAGTATAGCCTCTTCGGAAAGGAACTAACGCCTAGAACAAGAGAGTCTGGAAATTGCTTAACTACCTTAAAGCTAGTGCACTTGGAGTGTGGAAAGGAAAAAGGGCGCATTTCACAATAGATCTTTTAGGTCGCAATGAAAGGAGGGGAGAGTAAAGTTCCACCGTAAGAAGAGAGTTCTCCAATCCTGTGTAGTGTAACTTTTGATTTTTAATTTATAATCGCTAGCTATTAATGACGTTTGACTATCTGACAGGCATAAGAATCAATGGATTGCAGATGACCGTGTCCTTTTTGGCGATATACACTGTGTTAATAGAGTAGAAGTAGCATGCATTAACTATGTCCCAAGATGGGGTATGAAGTGGCTCTTTGACTCGAATCAAAGGAAATAGGTTTTTTTGAGAACCACAAAATATAATTATGGAGCGTTTTGTATTGTTTTTAACTTTAAAAAATTACGAAATATGTCATTTCGCGATTTAACATTTAAAACAATTGAATTTTGCTTTACAACCAAGCAAAAAATAATCATCCGTTTGATACAATAAAAATATTAATTATAGTGGCGTTTTATTGAACTTCTCAACTTCTGTACGTTTCAACTTTACCCCTGGAGTAAGATTTGAACTTCAAAATGTGGTTGGCAGTTGAGCCCCAAAATGCTAATGGGTAAAGGACAGAACTAAACAAATTAATCGGTCGAAAAAGTTTAAAATAATACTATATTCCATAAAATAACCAAGGAAAACGAGAAGCTGAATGACTATGAAATATAAATGTTAAATATTAAGGAAAAGGGCTTTTTATAACTATAAATAACTTCTTTTCAATTAATTAATCTTTAAGTAAGGTTTTGGTTGAGATAAAAAATTCAGTGTCACGAGCAGGATTCGAACCTACGACCTTTGGCTAAATACGCCGCTGCTCTACCACATGAGCTATCATGACTTCGATCCACTCGGACACCAACTTCCCCCATCTCAACCCTTTTGAATTTTGAAGAGCAGCGGTTTATTTTGCCGAAGGTCGTGGGTTCGAATCCTGCTCGTGACACTGACATTTTTATCTCAATCAAAACCTTACTTAATGATTAATTAATTGAAAAGAATTTATTTGGTCAATCGGACCACGAAACCTAATAGAATTATAAATAATCTTTTTAACAAAGAAAATAATACAAAACTTATTCACCCAATTCAGGCTGGATTGTTTTCTTTTCGTTCTAGATGCCTACGCTAGACCGATTAGTCATCTTAGGTTTTCTATAACGAATGTGACAGCCTGGAGCCTTCATAGTGCTACTAATAGTATTAGTAAACTATGTACGAACTGCAAAGTACAGGCATCAATAATGGAGAAAAAACTACAAAAGTAGAAAGTCAGCTGTACGGTTAAAGGGGGAAAACACATTTGTTGTTTCAAGCAACACAAGTTGCTTTAGTCAGAGAATTATTTATTGCCTATTGCTGTTAACGACCTATTAAAAATTAGCAAAAGGTCTCATTTCTAAGACAGGATCAGTGATCTATCATATTATTTCACAAACATGAGGAAAATGGTCTACATGGAAAAACGCATTTACAATAGTGGTGACGTTTTCTGGCCATGCTACAATTCTGTGAAATAACCCAGTATTCACTGCGTTCACCATACTTTATACAAACCTACAAACGGTAGCACTAGTGCACCAAGCATGTCACGTTCTGTGTGCAACTGGCATGCATACCCCAGCCAATGCAATAAAATGCAGTGTTTGCTTGCCGAAAGTGCGCTCCCTTTTCTCGTCGTGTTTTCTATTAGTAGTTCTATCTCCATCAGAAGCGACTAGACATATATGACATTCTGAACTATTCTTTAAATTCAAAAACACTTGTAAAGCCACAATTGATCCATGTTCTGTAGGTTTTCTACGTCTAGTAACATTTTGTCGAGCCATAGTTAGTAATTTGTTCGTCATCACTGAAAAGTAAATCCTCTAGCATTGTAAAGAAATGCAGGAACCAAAGTAACCTAACCTTTGAATGTTTGCACTAATATTTTGATAATACAGACGTCTAAGACTTGTAATAACAGTACAAACATTTTTACAATTAGTGGCCGTTTATGAAACGGAATTCCTTGTATTTAAAATAATGTGACAGTACTTGTACTTTCGATTTTACAACTGTTACATTGTACGTTTTCTTTTGTTTTATTATGAAGCAAAACTGTACAAATTACAAGCTACTACACTAATAGTAATAGTTTGTATTTCTTTATGAAACAGAACCGAAGGTATACTTTTGTTGTCATAAAGAAAAAAGAAAAAAAATTATGATTTAACAAAAATCACGTTGATAAAATATTTAGGTACGGAAATAAACTAAAAATGTTATTTAAAACAATAAATATACTTTTATTGGATTGACAATCCGTGGTGAGTTTGTAAATTTTTTCTCCTAAAGAAGGTCCGAAGACCGAACATGTGAATTTAAAAAAAAAATTGCTTTGACTGATGAGCCCTACTTTGACTAATACAAATCAAACTATCAATCAAGTAAAACAGAACAATAAAAAAACATAAAAGGCAGAATGGAACAAGTAAAAGCCACGTTTAATAGTAAGGATCAATTCGAACAGACCTCAACCTGGAACTTGGAATTCGCTTGCTGAGAAGTCTTCCCAATCCTGTTAAATAGATGTGAAAGCTGGAAACTGGATCCCATGATTAATCTAGCACTAATAATTGAGGCATTTTTTACTAATGCAAGTATTCTTTAGTGTTTTTTAGTTAAGGAGGAATGGGATTACTTTTATCGTAGAAAAACCTTCTGACGTTCCTAGCGGTACACATTTTTTTACTGTTCCTTTATGTCCGTTTTAGTATTTTTTTTTACAAAATACGAATTTCAACACTTATCTTACAAAGTCTTGTAAATTTGAGTTGAAATTGATAGGGTGTTAATTAAAAATAGTACGTCACCCTGAATCAGACTACCTTCGACGAATGCCGGTGTCTTAAATGCTTTAAAGCGTGACCCTATAAATACTTTGGGAATTGATTGTCGGTTTAAATGTTAACGAATTTCTCCCGAAGCGACGGTTCAGCCCGGCTAAGGAGAAAGGGTTCAAAGACACAGAACCGTTCGATATAGTGACGTGAGTGGTCAGTGCGGGTCAGCAGTGGGGCTCGCCGTTCAGTCGCTGCCTGCGCCCGAGCCGGTACACAGCATGAACCCTTCACGACATGCCAGGAGAGATTGACATCCTCAAAATCGACCGTCCCGGCAAAGAACCGGGCCCGGATGTAGCTTTTTCCGTCTTGAACGGCGGTTCGCCCGGCGAGCCGATCCGAGGGAACGGCTACGACCTACGCAACTCCTACCCGTCGGACGGTTTCAAGAAAACAGGCAACGGTTATGGAAGCATCGAGGCAAGGAAGTTTCACAACGGCCGGAAAGGCGCCGGGTTGAACGGATCGAACATGACGGACGATTTCGCAAGCACCCTCGACAAGAAGCTTAAAGACCTGGAGGAGGATTCGATTAAAAAGAAAAAGTGCAAGAACAGACAGCAACCCGACTCACGGCCCCTTTTCATCACGACAGTCAAAACTGGAATATTTCTCGATCCTCCTCCCGAGCTAGCCGCGCTTCTCGGCTATCCAAGGTCCGGCGAGTCTTCTGGGAGCAACAATTCAGACAAATCGAGCGATGGGCTCATGTACTCTTTTTCCAGTCAGCCACGTGTTTTGAACAATAGAGCCAAGCCGAAAGCCAACAACGATAGGCAGATAAACCAACCCAACAACGAGAGGCTGCAGATCAAAAACAATATCCGACCCAAACGAGAAATAATTAATAGCAATTTAACGAAAAAACCGTAAGTTATTTATTATGCAAGAAAAAAAAACACATATCGACCAATGCCAAGCAGCATGTTTACACGCCAACGCTTTAGCAAACTCAAGTGTTCAAATTATATACTCTAAAACAAATTTTTTAATCTTTTGCTACCATTAAAAGTACAACACTTTCAACATTTTTAAATTCATTAGTCCAAACATGCTGAAAACACATTTTCTCTTTTCCTTCTGGATAATCCTAATACATTGTTTATCTGCAGTAAAAGAAATTGCTTCTGAACATCTCAATTTTTATTAACTGATGGTGGCTAGCTCAGGCTAAATCAGACGAACAGCTATCCATGAATATTTTTCTTTTGAAAACCTATTAAAAAAAGCAGAAAAGATTTCTAAAACAATACTAATCTATGTTTTAACATTCCATAACCTTCTGTAATGGTACGATGTCCCTGCGACTTTACGTCGGCAAAGACCATCCCCGCACCATGGTTTTTCACATATATTTCATGTACTCTCTGAAGTGAGATGACTCCTCCTTAGCCATCTAACCATGAGTAAGGACGGAACAGAGACAGATATAGACAGAAATACAAACAGACACAAAGAAGACAGAGTGATAGAGAGAGAGAAACAGACTCAAACCCAGAGAGGAAGAGAAAGTGAGCGTGAGTGAGTGAGAGATTAATATGATTTGGTCAACTTGATAGAGAGAGAGAGAGAGAGAGAGAGAGAGAGAGAGAGAGGGGGGGGGAGGGAGAGTGAGAGGGAAGGAGGGAGAGAAAGAGAGAGAGAATTAATGTTTTACTTATAGACACAATGATTTGGTCAACTTTGACCACAATCACATCCGATGAGATAGACAAAGACGAAGATAAATTTATTTGCTGTTCATTGAATATTGAATACATTATTCTGAGGAAAAAATTAAATGTTTATGTAGAACAAAATAATTTTATATGAACAACCTCTCTCAGTAATTTTAAGTTGTGCTTGAGAGCAGGAGTTGTGAGCTCAAAAATAGTTTTATAAATTACCAAAATAAACACACAAAAAAACAGATTTTTTACTTAGTGGTAGGAGTATACATTCAATTTATTTGAGTATTGGCATTTTACGTAATTTTTTAATTATTATTTTAATAGAATATTATTTTCAAAAATTTCTCTTCTCCAATTATACGTTTTAAAAACAATTTAAACTGATTATAAAAGGGAAAGAAATTTATATAAATTAGAAATTATTATCAGATAAATAGATAGGTAGATAGAGATAGATACATAGAGGAGAGAGAGAGAGAGGAGTGAGAGTGAATGAGTGAGAAAGGGGGATGGAGGGAGGGGGAGCGATAGAGAAAGAAGAAAGACAGAGAGAGGGAGAGAGGGAGTGAGCGTTAGAGTGAAAAAAATTGTGACTATGTGTGTGTTTGATTGATGAAATTGATGTTTTTGGGTCAAAAATTAGTTCAAATAATATAGCGTTTTTCTCGCCTAAAATAATATGTACGCGATCATAATATATATATTTGATTGACTAGAAAAATAATAAATTAAATAACATCAAAAATCATTTTTCATTTGACCCTCTTTGAACTTATTATTAGCAAATAAACATTGATTCCTAGCGTTCACAAACTAGCGAAACGAGATGGCCAAGAATACACAAACCCGAGGCTATCTTTGCCCAGTTGTAGCCTTCCATCCCTTTAAACCCGTCCAACGCGGAGAGATAAAGCCCGTTTTGGCACGCCAGGCTAAATCCGAGACGGCCAAAGTTGGCGAGAACGAGTAAGCAAGAAGCCATAAATTTGCGAAGCGACGCAGCACGATTCAACCTTGAACTGTAAAAGCTCTCTATCGACTTCCCTCACAACACCCATTTACACGAATATTTGTTCAAACAACAATTATACAAAGTGGCCCAACTGCCTCAGATAACTGTCATAGTGTGTGGACACTTTTGCAAATTAATTTGAAAAATCATTAATGCCATTTTAATATCTTTGCGATGACTCTATTGTCGAGAAAAATTAATCTCCTGCCATCCATTAATACTGCCTGTCATCAGTTTATTCATTCTATTTCAGTCGTTTACGATCATTTCCGTCTGTCCGTTTTAGCTGTTTTGGTCTATTGATATCCAGACATTTGAGTTCAACATACGTATCAGACGTGTAGAAAAACTGTCACAGTTCGATCATATCGATCAGCTATCTTAACTTATACACTAATTACATTATTACATACACACACTAGAACGCATATCCGCGTGCACACATCTGTTAAAAATAGGATTGCGTAAAGCAAGACGTCATAAGTTGACCAAGCGATACAGCTCGTACATTGAATCATATTGTCCTATTTTATATTTATTATGTTTTTTATTAACAAATTTAAACTACTTAACAATTATATATTATCCTAGGTTTTTTATTTGGCCCAGTCCATCTTTTGGCTCTTTTTGTCGATATGGATTATGAACAATCGGGAATCCCCTGGGCACTGCATCTTGTACTAGGGCGCCTCATGTTCCTACAAAAAAGAAACCCATTTTCGAAAGGGGTCGGCAAGAATTCAGGGTCAATGTAATTCGAACCAGGAACATTCCATTTGTTAAAATGCCATGTCAACGTTTTAACGTAGCGACGATGGGTTAGAAAATCCAAATGCGAATGTATTTGGGAATCAAAAGTACGACCTCGATGTACTAGCAGATAGTTTGACGTCTTAAAAGCGCGTTTTCACAATTCACCTTTTGGTGTCAAGCTAAAGCTAAACGAAATCTATTGTGAGATTGCAGATGATTAGCTCTCCAGGGAAACTTTTGTCGTTCAACTCACGAGTAATTTTCAAGCGGAAACTTAGCTCGTTCGGATTATTCCTGACTGTATAATTTCCAACACTTCACTTTTTTTTATGAAATACGTAAAAAACGTGCTTCAAGCGGGCTTGTATTGTGCTGCTAAAATTATTAGAACTTTATCATAAGCATTGCTGCGTTTGAAATCACGAATTATATAATAAACAGATTACAAGGTACCATACGATCAGATATCAATATTTCAGGAGGTTACTAAACTGAAAAGCCCCTAACATCCATAGTCAGGTTCTCAATTGCATTTGACACATTAATTTAGGATACTGAGGGTTATTCCTAGACAGTAGATTAATGTGTATCACCACACAAGACCTAATAGACAACAATTTAACATAAGACTTGGACAACTAAGAAGTGACCATCAACGCTAAATCAACCTTATACAAGACTTTACTTTGGACATATTGGGGTTATGCCAAGCCAGCCAACGGCTAGCGCATTCAATCCTACCAATCAAAAGTCCTCAGACAAATCATTACTACGAAACTAACCCCACTTTCCACAACGACCTTAACATTCATTCTATCAACGAACTGATCCGTTCCCGATTCAAAAACTTTCACACCGACCTCTTGATACACCTTAACTCTACTGCCACTCTATACCAGGCCTTGCTCTTCATTCCCATCAAGAACCCGCCACGTCACCTTAATTGACGATGGCCTCCTCCAAGCCTGTACTAAAATAGGCTAAAACGGTACATTCGACATCGAAAAGTAAACATAGGATAAAATTTGCTTATGTGAAATTGGTTTCATAGCGTTTATACATTTCAAACTATAAGATTAAAGCTCACTGGGTTTTGGCTGTTGTGCTTAAATAAGCGCAAATTATTCTTAATTAAATTATTATCTTTTGTTCAGGGCTTATTAAAAATTCTGTTATTGAATGTAGCAATGATTAAATTGTTTATATTTTTTTTTGGTTTTCAGAGATAAACCTTCGCCCGATGTCATACCTTACGGAAATGTCATGTACGACAGGAGGGTCGTACGCGGACCGGCTTTCATGCACCATCCCCTTCCTACGGTAAGGAATTTTTTTAATTATTAGAAACTTCTAAGATTAAGATAGTACAGAAAGTGTCCTTTTTCCCAAAAAAGAGTCGCTATTTTGCTCATCTTTAGATGGTAGTTAAAAGGACAGCGGCTATCAGTTTTGAGATTTATGATTTGATGTTCAAGTTTTCTTTCTCAAGCCATTTTTTACCTACAACTTTACTACTTTCCGGTTTGCCTAGTTTTGATTTTGGGCTTATGGGTGAGAGAGTTGCCATTGTTTTGGCTAGTTGGTCAGCCTGTTCGTTTCCTTCTATACCTTAATGTCCTGGAAACCTCATTCAACAGTCAACCAACCACTGTTCCATGATCAGAGGCCTGACCGTTGTGGTGATTAACCAATACGACATCTTGGGTTTACACCACAGTTGTGCCTGGGGCTTGTTGTAGTATGTTGCCTATATGACTTGTCCACTTGAGCCTTTGTTTACGGTTACGCCTAGGTATGTAGTTTCTTTAGCGAAGGTTATGGCTTCACCTTTAAGCGTAATTGCTTTTAACTTTAGCTTCGTTCATTGTGAAGGGTATAAGGTATGTCGATATTGTTGTTTTTTACGACCATTGGTGATCAGGTCTGATGTCTGAGCGTAAACGAAATGGGTTGTTTGCTCCACCTAGTGCACCAGTCGGTAATGAAATCAAGGTATTCTTGGGTTGCTTCTGTTGTCCAAATATCCATGATGGTGTGTTAAAATGTGTGAGTATGTCAGCAGTCTAAATTTTATAAATGACTGGTCCTAGGAAACCTTCTTGCGGAACGCTAGCTTTAAGTCGCATGATACCGATTCCCAATTTAACCGAGAATTTCAGAAGAGATAGTAGATGTGAAACAAAGAAAAAGAAAACCTGAGTGCCACAATTAGAAATAAAATTATCTGTTTGAAAAGCTTACTATAATTCATCTCTTTTTTTAACTTTCTAAAAAATGGAAGGAATTTCACTTTTTTTATCTGAAACTTCCTATCCGATAATGTGTGCTGTTCTATCGTATCAAAAAAGAATAGAATAAACACGAATTAGATGCTATTTCGATAAACATATGACAGAAACTAAAACCAACCGCACTTGATTAAAAAATTAATTTGGATCAATGAGATAGATAATCTTGGACGTTTTGTATAAACGACTAACTGCTGTGTTGTTAGTAATTCCAATAATTAATGAAAAACTCGAATTTTATTTATTAATTATTAAACCATGTGAGTTGAATAGGTCAATCTGTGGTCAATATATCAAATAATTACATAAAATGACCCTACGACTGTTTTTTTTTCTTGTTAGATTTCATAATGTTTTCCTTATAACTTGCTTTGGCTTTTAAACACCAAACAAGTTTAGCATTTTACTCAAAGGCTTTTCTAGTACAGTCTCAAAGACACTAGGTGACAATAAATCAATGTGTATCCGTACGTTTTAAATATTTATCACCGCGAGAAGTGACGTTACAAATTAATAATTCAAATTCTTTTCCTAACAAGTTCAAGGACGGGTTTCCAGTCCGTTGCATGTCAAGTGAACCGACCTAATAAAAATTTGCATTCCATTATTTAAAGAGGTGTGCCAATTTGTTGACAAATCTGTGTTATCTCAACCTCCTTCGCCGTGAAGAACAGAGGCCGACAAAATTTTAAAATTTATCTGCCCTACAGATTATAATACAAATCTCTTATAAACTTATTATTTAAACTAAAAAGATTGTATTATTTATGCAAAATTGATCTTAAGTTTCATTTTTGTGTTTGCATGCAAAGTAAATGTTTAAGATTAAAAACAATCTCTCTTAGACTTCATTTACCCAATAAATTTAATTATTTTGAACAACAGAATATTTTAAAAAAATGCATGGCGCAATATTTCCACAAATAAAAGAAAAATTTATGTGAAAACATTCCACTTCTTGTGGATAAAAAACATTTATATCATTTAAAGTGCTATGCAAAACCGGGTCTCAAAGCGCCACCAACCGCCTCATCCCCTAATTAAACGACCAATTTATTTGCCACAATAACACTAAACAGACACAGACTGACTCGGGAGATGTTATGTTATTTTATTTATTTATTTTTTTTTTGAGCAAGTAACTTGGAAACTTTTCACAATAGAAAAATACAGTAACTCTTTTTTTCTTCTGCTATTACATTCACCGGACTATCTTTAATTCCGATCTTGTACAGATAATATTGTAAACTGTTGTCATTGTAGCAAAGTCTGCAAATGTGCATAGACAATTTTCTTTGTCCGCCAATCTTGCTGAAGCCTTTTGAAACAGGTATTTTTGGTTGGATATTTGCATATCGTTTCAATTTTTTGTGTCTTTATTTCGTCCATTTCGCTGATTTTGTTAATATATACTATCAAGTCGCTGACAGTAACTTCTTTCCTAAATTTAATTAGTATCGGTCTTTAATATTTTAATCCTCTATGAAAAAAATCAAAGATAAGACCAATATAAAAAAGAAATAAATACACAACGTTCCTTCGTCAAGCTTTCTACTAATTTACACCCTTCACTAGGACTGTGAAACTATTATTAATAATTGCCAAGGTTAGCATGCTTTGTCTGCTTTTTGATCGGAGCAATATTAATTAAAATGAATAGTTTGCTAGATGAAACAAATTCAGGAAAATTTGGTTAACAATATCAATCATTTAACCTTGGCTAGGGTTCTGAACCTTGGATCGCTAGAAATCTGTGGGTGTAGACTCCAGGGTCCCCTGGTGAGTCTTGGATGAATCAGATTTACCGATTAGTACACAGATTTTATAATTTTTTGGTTGTGTTTATTGCCTAAAAGTTTTGTAAACCAATTAGCGTGAACTATATGAACTATGATGTTAGACATAAATCCTTTCACAGAAGGAAAAAAAATTGTAGTTGTAAAGAAACGAGAGGTCAAATGTGTAAGTATGCATTATTTGCATTTATATTTTGAAACATCAAGTGGTCATCGATGTTTCCCTCTGCGCTTTAACTCCTGAGCGATCCGTGCCACGTAAAGAGGTCAAATGATTTTGACGATTTATTGTTATTATTATAATTAAATTATTTCTAATTCATAATATTTGGGAGTAGATTTAGCATTAGAGTAACCAAGAAATTTCAGTATTTTAACCAGCAGCAGTTAGACTAAATCCGTGAAAACTGATTGGTCTTGCGGTAGTGTAGACCATGTGCGCCGTAATTTTGTGCCAGACCGCAATTATTTTTGTTAACCGTTTTATAATAAATTTTCTATTTTTTTATTACGTATAATATACAAAATTATTAGTAAGCTTAATTAATTTCCGATTGCGTAATAAATATTATACATGGTTGAAAAGAAAGGTTTAGCCAGGGAATCCTTTTCAACGATTGTTATCATGCTATGACGTAATTTTTTACAAACATTAATATTATCTTGTTTACTTAGATTTGTTTTATTGGAAAACAGTTAATTTCACTAATGGAAAAATCTTTTTCTTTTGCTTATTCGGAGATCGTGAGAGACGGTCTGGTGTGCAAAGGTTTTAGAAAAACATTTTCTTTATCGTGCCAACGTTTCGATCTTTATTGTGATCATCTTCAGGGCCTGGGATTTATAAACATTGTTTAAATTTTACAAATACATGTAAAAAATCATAAATACATAAAATGCAAACAACGTTTATAAATCCCAGGCCCTGAAGATGATCGCAATAAAGATCGAAACGTTGGCACGATAAAGAAAATGTTTTACTAATTACTAATTACGTCACACCAGACCGCATCTCACGATCTCCGAATTATCATTTCCTAACGATCACTAAACACCACACATTTTTCTTTTGCTTTGGTATGATTTTTTTGCTAAGAAAACTCGAAGTATGTTCAAATATTTACATAAGCAGCATTGATTGGTATATCTCATTCTGTTCGTTGACAATTAGAATTAGTGAAGACCGAACGCGAATAAAAATCGGCGAGATTGTGCCGACACGGGGATCAATAACGATCCGACAGCTGTCAATTCTACTCCGATTTAATAAAGCTGGGAACTTCTCGTTTTCCGACAAACGTCTTGTTGTACCACGGTATGACAGGTGAGATTCGACCGTGACCTCTGAAATAACTCGGAATGCCTTTTGTCTGGTAAACGTTAAGAAAATAGTTCGAAGTTTGTCAGACCTAAAATACCATAGTGTCACCGAATATTTTGTTTTCATTTTTAATTATATTGTCACAAAACATGAACTAAAAAAGGTACAATTGTGTAAAAAAATCAATATTTGAACTAACAATATATTAAATGTTATTGTAAACAATACTGGTCATCGAGATAATCATCAGCCTACAACCATCTACCGAATCAGGCTATTTCCTTCCGTCCGACCGTCAGAAATATTCGGATCGTCCTTGATTCGACCTTTCCCTGAATCCCATGGGGGTCGTGCCAGCTACCTTGTCCACTAAAGTACGCATAAGCTCCTTAGCTCCCTTACTCCCCTTTGGTGGGTTGTGGGGTCACTGGGGTCAAGATAATTCTTTTGTTCGTTTTATCCTTGGCTGTCCAACGTGATCACATGGATGATATGTCCACCAACTTATACCCTTCCTACCGCATGCATTTTCTTGATTCTTTTTTGTAACTGATAACTTCCTACATGTATGATCTCATCACCTTCAGATCAAATGTAGAGGCAGGTTTGGAATGAACATGCTCTTCCAATTGAACCAGAAGTCCTTTATATGGCCTCTAGTCAAGCTCGCTCCCTCCCTTCTGATCTCTATCACCATAAACCCAGAACTGCTATTTACATTTTTAAATAATTAGTAATTGAACCATAGAACCTAACGTTCATCTTTTAACCTAGCCTCTATTAAGCAATTAGTAACCAATCGATGACCAGAAGAGATAACTCACTCAGACATAAGATATCTCAATGTTTACTATGCCTAGTTGGAATACAGCTTTCCTCCCTCCTCGTAAAGATCAAAATCGTGTTGAATCTGCGATAAGGACTATGCGGTTTTTTCTATATAAAAATATGATCCTCACCTGCACGCGTATCATTCAATAGACGCTCTTCCACTCGGACTCAGAGGTCCTGGAAGTCCTAGTAGAAACCACGAACAATTGCTTTAAGTTTTATTTCTTTGATTGCAAATTCTTACAACTTAGCACCAAGATTTTAATGTGTTTTTTTAGATTTTACCACTTTAATTTAAGTCCCATTGATAAGTAATTCTACCTAGTATGTAAATATTTGTGTAAATCCGAATTTTTGAATATTAAATTTGTATAATTGTAAAAATAATCTGTATGTACGGTTGAGATAAAAAAGTCAGTGTCACGAGCGGGATTCGAACCCACGACATTCAGCTAAATACACCGCTGCTTTACCACTTGAGCTATCGTGACTTCAATCCATTCGGACACTAACTTCCCATCTCAACCCAACCTTTCGGATTTTCCGTCCTTATGCCATTTTTTTTAATCTCAACCAATACCTTACATAAAGATTAATTAATTGAAAGATGTTATTTGGTTTGGTTGAGATTTTAAAAAAAATGGCAAAAGGACGGAAAATTCGAAAGGTTTGGTTGAGATGGGAAGTTAGTATCTGAATGGATCGAAGTCACGATAGCTCAAGTGGTAGAGCAGCGGCGTATTTAGCCGAAGCTCGTGTTCGAATCCCGATCGTGACACTAACTTTTCATTTCAACCAATACCTTACATAAAGATTAATTAATTGAAAGATGTTATTTCGTCAATCGGACTACGAAATCTAATGAATTTGTACTGAATCTTTGACAATACGTAGTGCTCATAATTAACTGTTCAAAGTCCCAGTATATAGTTAGTTCATTTCTTTTCCCGTCATTGAATAAATATAACATGATCGATGGATAAGACAAAAGAGAAGAATCGTATTGCTTATATATCTCTATATATCTATTCGTTCATGTTATCTGACTCTAATGAAATATTTGCTATTTTACCTATTAATCCAAAACGGTTTATGAATATATCTATTAAGAATACGTGCTTGCCCTCACCATCGTACGTAACTAAAAATAAATGAGCATTTGTAAAGATGGATAAAGGTCAAATACCCTTAACGTGACTTAATTTTCTAAATTAAAACAGATTGTAAATATTTAAAAGAAAATCACTGTCATAATGAAGGTGAAGACATTCTGAGCCCTATTTTGGAACACCCCGACATCTACTATTTAACTTTTTTTCTTCAAAAATGCCATTTTTATAGCACTTATAGGGTGTAAATCGTGGAATTTGTATCTATGTGGTTAATACTTTATATATTATTTATATAATGTGGAAAATTCATAAACACTTCAGCTATATGTTTTTTCCTATTCTGCCGGTAAGTAAATGAATATTCGTGGTTGGAAAAAGGTCGAAATGCCCAATGTCAACCTAATTTCTCCAAATTAGCCATTAAATATTTATTAGCCACATTCGTTTGCAATTCGTTATCTCGAGAAAGTCACTCGGTGTGACTAGGGCTCACACGTGCGGTTTCCACGAAATGGAAATTTTCCCCCAAATGAGTTGGCAACCTTGAAAACGTTAAGGGATGAAAACCGCGATGTCGCAATGCACGCGATACTAGAATTAATTTCATATAGAAATTTCTCTCGATGCTTTACGCAAGTGTTTTATTTTATAACAAGTAGTTGAGATTGTGTTGTAGCAAACAAAAAGCCTTGGGGTCGCAGAAGACGCTGTCACAGGTTGCGTGTGTTGTTTAGCTTTTATTTTATTCCCCTCCTCCGAGGCATTTATTTTTAGTATTCGAATCAGTGCCCTTTAGAGTAAGGAACGAACCGAAATCCTCCTCTGCCGATGGATAAATACGAAGGACAAAGTAAGATTTCAACACGATAAAATGTCTCAATAGCTCCTTAAAACTGGGGATACTGCGACGAACATGCTCAAGATGTGTAAGTCAAACGTTCCTTACTAAAAATATATTTATATTAGGCTAGTATAATTAATCTGATAAATAATTAAACCTTTCTGGAAATGAATAAACTACAAAATTATAAGTATATGAGGAAATAAGTTGTCTATTATTTGCTGAATTGTACATTATATTTTCTACTTTAAATAGTTCGTAAATGTTTTATTGCAGTATTCTTGTAATATATTGGAGTCCATTTTAACATATTTAGTAGTGTATATTTTATAAGGCTGGAACCATTTGTCAATAATAAGAACATAGTGAAAATTATGGGGTCTCACTAAAAAAAATTCCCGTTTTGTAACCCATCCTCACGAACCATCGCTAACCAACCGACCATTATAGCTCCAATTTACATAAACACTTAATCGTTTTAAATTTTTCTAAGTTGCCGTTACAATATATAAAAAAAATAACAATCTACTAAGAATTAAACCTCTATTCATCCATACGTAGCTGTTAGATCTATACCTATTTTGATATCTCTTTTCTTAATGAGACTAAATAGTTGAACGAGTTCAGCTATGTTCACATTTCTTACATTAATGTAATGTGAACATAGCTGAAATCGTTCAAATATTTAGTCTCATTAAGAAAAGAGATATTAAAATAGGTATAGGCCTAACAGCTACGTATATATATATATATATATATATATATATACGATATATATACGATATATATATACGAAGAGGCAATTTTTTAAAGCTTTCCGATTCTTTAAGTTATCTAAAATTTTGACTGTTCTTCTCTGTTCAGCAAAGACGTTTTTTGCCGATGGTGAGTGACCCCACACCAACAAACCGTATGTTAAGATTGACTATAGTCTAAGTATAAGTTTGTAGAGAATAAGTATGTAATAAAACTATAAAGTTGTTGAAATAAAGAGAATCGACAATATAATTATTCGAAGCTCTTACACTATGCTCTTCATTACCTCAGTTAACGGAAAAGTCTTTTTCAAGGTACAAATATTTGATGAAACTTACTTACAAATGTTTCTCATTGTCAATTTTAACTGAGATTATTTTGACTTTAACTTATTTATTTTGTATTATATTTTAAATTCTTAAAATAATTTGAACGACTAAGATTTTTCTGCCCTGTTTCGTTTCTGAATATATACTAGACAAAAAATATCCTAGGTAAGAAAATAACTAATTTATTATGTGGGTGTTGTTTTTTAAATTCATTCTGTGCATTTGACTATTATACTGCAAATGATATGGCATATTGATGGGGGTTCTTTTACAACTATTAAATTTGCAGTGTTGAGAATTTATTAGATGGTGTTATATATTTAAGGATTTTTATTGCATATAAATGAGATTATTATACTCAATAACAGAGGGTACACAGAGGTCAAGGAATTATAGTTTGTATTTGTCATGCTAGCAGTCCTGGGTTCGAATCCTGTCATAGCACATTGTATTATAATGGGTAATACTGTGAAGAAAGTATTTTTCTTTTTATGTCTTTTTTACGAGGGTTTGAAACAATAAAGGTCATATCAATTATGGGGGTGTCGGTGTTTTTGAAAAAAGCCCATTTGTATGCTTGTCGGGTTCGAATGCCCCGGGACATTTAGCTTAGCCACCGACGCCCTGTGAAGAAAGTATTGTGAAGTGATTTGACCCCTAACTCGATTTTGTCGATAAGGAACGAAAGGCGGATATTTAGGATAGTAGGTCACTTCACATGCTAATTTAACAGTCATTTGTTTGATTAGGTGGGCCTGGAAACCCCTGCAGCCAGACAGGCCGAGGCGAGAAGAAGGGCTATGGCGAGGAGAAAAGCCCAAAACACAAGAGCCAAAAACCTCAAGCTTAGACTAGGCACGCCTCCTCCCATCGAAGGCAGGAAACACGAAGATATCCAGACCGAAGAGTATCTCGAAGAGGTAACATCAAAAACCGATAACATCAATACATTCGAACATGTATTTTCGAACACCCAACAACATTCCAGCTATTCGAACACCCTGCGACAGACACGGTCTACACGCAAACCGACTACTTCGTAGACCGTCCGCCCACGCCGAAGTTCATCCCGGCCAAGTCCGGTATGGACGTGGGCACGCAGATCTACCCAGGGGAACTCTTCCACTTCGACACGGAGGTCAGGCCCGTCCTGGAAGTCCTGGTAGGCAAGACGGTCGAACAGGCGCTGGTCGAGGTCATGGAAGAGGACGAGCTCGCGGCCATCAGGGAACAACAGAGGAGGTTCAAGGAGATCAGGGACGCCGAAAAGGCAGAGGAGAGCCGCCTGGAAGAAGAGGAACTGCGCAAACGAAGAGAAATCGTAAGTAGAATAATAATTTGGTTGCAATTGTGTTATGGTACCGATCAATAAAATAAAAACAAAAGTGTAAACGCCGTAAAAAAAAAACAATAACCGACCTCGATTCTTCAGATTGCAATCGCGAAAATCGCCACTGGATGATCAATAAACACTTGTGGGGCGGGTTATTATTCGAAAGAATTGTTAAAAACCTTATTTTAAAAAGTAGAAAAAATTGTTTTACAAATGTACGTCAGTGTATATAATGTAAGCATTCAGTTTGGACATTTTTAGTCTATAGGAAATCGCCCGACATTGCAAAATTAGCTGATTTTAATTTTTTTAAACGATGTTTTTCCATAAGTGAAAAGGCAATGTCATGTTTGTTCAAGCAATCCACGCACATCGATCATCCCTTCACAATGGGGAAAACCTGGCGTAACCGTGGCATTCTTCCGAAAAGCAATTTCATACTTATTCCCATCTTCATTAAATGCTAATTAAGCATCGATTTTATAAAAAGAAAGTTATTTTCAGAGAAGAAAATCGGAAAATTTATTAAAATAATACAATATTTTACTGAGTAGGTAGATTAAAATCATTAAATTTTAAATTAAGAGTTTTAAGAACCCATCAAAAGTATTTCATCTGTCTATCTACGGCCTTTGAAAAAAATCTTCAAAGTTTTCCTGTTTAATATAAGCTATTTTGTAATAATTGTAACTTTGAAAATAGCCTTTACTGTACGGTTTCCTAATAATCGAACCGAATTTTAATTTTGCCAATTCTTCAGTTAACAAATTTCAAATTTGCTACTGAAATACTAGACGTCCAATGTCTCACGTATTTTTAGGCTTATTTTTTTAAAGTCCATCATAGTTTCCTTACTCGATTGTTTTATTTTGACAAGGAAATGCGAGTGCTGGAACAGGAAGAGGCGATCCGGAACCAAAGAGCGACCGAGGACAGAGTGGCAGCTGCTGTGCTCACCACCGGCTACATCTCCGATCTTCTTCCATCGGTCATCAAAGACCTCAGCAAAGGGGGATTCTTGTACGACGAGGTTAAAGAAGGTATTTAATACTAATCTTAATTCATTTGTTACGGACGTAGTTTTAAGTGTAATTAACCGCAGTTTATAGAATACTGATGACACGTAGTTAGAAGGTCGGTGTATAATGCAATTCTAGACAGAATGCTCAATCGATTTCAACGGGAATGCAATGAGTCAGACACCACGCGATATAAAACGCAAAACAACTATTTGTAAGAAAATCGCTTCAGATTTTTTCCAGAGGTTGATAACCAACCCTTTTATCATTTTCATTTTTTAAGTCTTCTTATCCCGCTAAAAAGAAAAGTGTATTTGTGTAGGTTAAAGGTATCACCCAATTGTCTGTAGCAGAGTTTTCTACGAATTTATAGATGATGATAGAATGATAGGAAATATACTAGGAAGTCCCGAAATATATTAGTGAAATCCAAAAATACTGATTCTTTCGTTCCATTTTTTTAAAACATGTCCGTGGTCTTTACTTGTCCACGAGACAAATCATGAAAAGACAAACAAAACAAGGACTATTCTTCTTGTATATGTTTCCAGTGGAGGTACAGTGTAGCGTTTATAACGCAGCTATTAAAAAATAAGAAATGTCTTATCCTTTTAACGGATTAGTTGTTTAGCATACGAGTCTAATTATGTGTTTGTCTTGTATAGCGCATACCCTTATATTAATGTATTACTTGTATATATCCTTAGTCATGTTCTTAATAGTCTCTTTCGAGACAGTGGTTTATGTGCCACCTGCCTAACAATTTTTCTTTATTAATCCTCAGATATCTAAATCCTTTAACTTTAAAATCTTTTCAAAATGGATTTGGTAGAACTATGGAATTCAAATCAATTTCACCATATTCTTGCTGGTTCGAGCTAGGGTTTTTTTTTACTTGGTTGTCTACTTTCTGCACAAAAACCAATGAAAATTGCGAACCATTATCATTTTATGTATATCAATATCATTTGAACATCAGGTGTAAGAAAATATTTAAAAAAAACATATTATTTATCGAAATAATACTTATTGAGTTTGTCAACTTGAATTACTCAACTCGATTGACCTAAAAATGGCTGTAAGAAGGATGGAACACACGATGGAATTGGCCAGGCCTTCATTCCAATCAGGTTTCTTTTTAAAATTCGATAATATTAGGCTAACCAGGCGCAAACTTAAGAATTTACACGTAAAACCTGCGTATCTTTTTGGCTTTTTTGCTACAATGGCAAATTATTTCATTCAAAAGTGGCAAAACTATGTTAATAATCAAATTTCTCCACTGGCGCAGTATTGCTTAAGACTGCGCTATACTAAATAAGATAATTCAAGATATATTTTTAAGAAGTTTGGGTCAATTTCCACATTGCCTTCTCTTGAATGTGGTTAATCTTTAATGTAATTAAGTCTAAACACACGTTGCAATTTGTGGGGATTTTAAGACCAAAAGAGTACATTTGTATACCTCAGAATTCATATTTTCTAAGTGTTATATGATTCATTTAACCCTATTTTGTCTCTGTTGCAGAGGTGGACGAGAAATTCATGCCATGGTTGATGAAGGAGGTTAAGACTGAAATGCAGAAGATGGTCGAGAATAGGGACTTGCTCTCAGGTAAATACTTTTTAAAAATGTTATTCCACATCTTAACAATTTTTCTGTGAGTCGTTAACGTAATGTACCACCGAGGGGAGAATAATATACACTTATCCGATTCGGACATAACGTCACTAATGACGGTAAACGATAAAAGGGGAGAATATTATTTTCCTGATTTAGACGGAGGCAGATGTTTCCGAATTCACGCACGGCCGTTTATGACGGACGATATTAACGAATATATTGTTTTTCACCCTCCATTTTAGAAATACTTAAGGAGATAATCGAGACGCGCGCTGAGGTCTACCAAGCTCTCGGGGAACGAGAAGAGAGAATGCGCGGCATGCCGGAGTTGGAGGCCGAAGAGGAAGAAATAGGCCCTCTGCCCCTTGAAGAAATGGCAGAAGAAGGCGAAGAAGAAGGCCTCGGAGAAGAGACTCTCGACGAAGAGAACCAGCCTGCGGACGCCGACGTCAAACCGACAATGGCTTAGGAGCCGAGGAAGATAGGTACGTTGATACCAAATTAGAAATTAATTCTGGTTTTTTTTCTGTTTGGGTTGGGGTGTACCATGTGAGGAGGGTGACGCCATGCTGTGGATACGACTAGTTATGAGTATTGTATTGGGACACGTGCAGATTTGTTACGGACAGATTCTCCGTCATGGTTCTATCACAATATCTGGTCGAGGGACCTTCCACCCTCGAAACCCATTGGTAAATAATGCCGGCTTTATGAAAAGTTTAAAAGTCCCTGATCGTCTTTCAAGCCCTCTAAAGCAGATATTGCGACAATAGTTTATTACTAAATTTTCAAATTGCAAAAATATTTTACATAAATCGTCTCCGCCTACCCATTATGAGAATTCTTGAAATATTACATGAGAATATGATCTTTGATGATAAACTAATGGACATAATTTGTATAAGTCGTGAGGAGCGGTCAAGAATGAGTAGTTTAGAAAAACACATTTTTCATTTTTTTTGCCGACGTTTTGACCTTTAATCGGGGCATAAAGTGAGGTGTTATTCTTGTTGTGTCATATTGGTTTGGTGCGAAAGGGTTGTGCCTTTAGCATATTATCAATTAAAATTCCATGGGCTGTGCCGGGATTTGAATCCGAAAACCGCACTCTTCTAAATAAATGGAGAGGTGGAAAACCTACTTGATATAACTGATGTAATGGAAATAATGCTCTTTATCAGTATCAAAATACATCAACAATAATAGCCTCTAACCATTATGTGAACCAAAAATATCTATTAAGAGATCCAGTAATGATGGATATCTTTTTTTTTAAGCTGACTTGAGTAGGTGCTGATTAAGTGATGACCTTTCCAAACCAGTTGGTCCTGCTAATTACTTCTTTTTCAGAAATTACGGGTTCAAGTTTTAGTTCACTTACAATATAAAATAAATGAACAGATAGAAACCCCCTCTCTCAATAGTTATAAAATATTGGGTGTCCTGGACGAAGTGCTACAACGCGTTTAACATATTATTAATTCCAATAATTCAATAATCCAATAACAATAATTTCAATAATCCACTAATTCCAATAATTATTAATTCCATGGGCTGAACCAGGATTTGATCCCGAAAACGCGCTCCTGGAGCGTTGGAAAATCTATCATAATTGTTATATTGACTTGATCATAACTGATGTAAATGAACTGTAAAGGCAGTTTAACGTTAACGTGGCAATGACTAGTTCACAAACCTAAAACTGAGATACGATAACAATTCTGGGGAGTCAATATTATTATTATTAATTAGACCGTGGATAAATATTATATCGGACATATTTCTTCTTGCATGAAGGGAATATAAATTAAAAGAACTTGATTGTTGATTATTGTTCTAGTCCTGACACATCATACGTTTAGTTGTTCTGACCTTAGTTTCTACGATGGTCCTTTAATCAATTTTTCCGATACTCTCATACATCTCATTGAACCGAGAACATATTGTACCCATTTACTCATGAACCTTCGTTTTTGGGCCCCAAAAGGGTCGTTAGGTGTCCTAATCAAACTTTACTTGGCCGGTTACCCATCTGCCTTTTGTGCCCTAGTTGCAGTTACAGTCAGTTACTATTTTAGTGCTGCCAGGCTGTCCGAATGCAAAGCTATTCTGTTCTTGCCTTTCCATCTGCAGTAATCAATAGACAAAGTCTCCGCTGGAAAAACAATATAATATTGCCCAAGATTTAATTCTAGAACTTGATTTATTTCCAAAGAAACTTGCTTATCTATACACTTTCTTCGAGACATAGAGGTGTGGGAGCCATTCAACCAGTCTGCTCTATCGAGCATTATAATTTGAAATTTCTTTCTACATCTGAAATTTGGGATCATGAGTCGACAGACATTCTCAGAATCTTGTCTTCTGAAGTTGTGATTACTACTTTTTATTCAGGAATCTTACTTTTGAACATACACCTGATTAAACCAGCTGGTGACACTAAACATTCACTATCGTTTATTTAGCTTGAAGAAAGACGAACTTGAAAAAGGATTTACCAGACTGAAAATGAGTGCTTACTACCGGCAATACAGCCATGATCAGTAATACGGAATTAAAAAACATCTCGTCTCAATACAAAAAGTCACAATATACACAAGCCAGGGTATTTTTGCCACTTTTACTCACATTTTCAGCGATCTAGTACTAAACAATAAGCCATGAAAGAATGACGAACGACTATTTTATTACGTAAAAATAAGAAACATGCTTTCATATCCTCGCAGACCCTACGATGAAATCTCACATGAAAATGTTAAGTTTGTCGATGACTTGTCACCCAAGTGTTTTTGTTTAAATGTATAAAGATGTGACAATGAATTTAATATTTCATATCTAAAAATTTATTGATTAAAGATTAATAGCAGACGCTTATTTCTGGCCGCAGCGGAGCTTGAAATCTCCCTTTCTGAAATACAAAGTGGTCATAAACGTTTAATCAGATAAACAAGAGGATCACTTGACTAAGGCTGGCCGGGACAGTAAGTAAGTGCGGCAGTGCGGAAAGAAGATGTTATCTCTGGTGAATTCTAACGAGGGGCTGAGCAAACATTGATGTCACCTGTCTCCATTCCCAAACCTCAGCTGTCCCATTCATCCATCATCGCTTCCATCCCCCGGCCGATGACGAAATGTCTTAATTGACCGTTCACTGCATCCACCCTCGCCAAACACCAGGCCGTCCTCCCACCGACGGAGGGAGAGGCCGACACTTGCCAATTGTATCAATATTTTCCGTCCTTGGCCATATTTCCGGGCCCACCCTAGGAAACGTAAACAAACGCTTACAAATTGTCAGTGGGCTTTTAATTTTTATCGACCAGACACGAAGAGCCGACTTTCCTCTGATGTTACTAAACTGCTAGACAATTCTAGCTAAATAAAATTGAAATTAATGAAAGCTTCATTTCCGATCATTTTGGTATGCCTATCCTCACAGATTTGGTCCATCAGACGCGTTTTGGCATGACACCACCTTCGCTGCTGGTAACTACATAGACAATGCCACTAGCAAAGATGATGGTAACTGGCGATTACTAAAACACTTTTACTTTTTTAAAAAAAAAGCTCTTAACTACTCTTGAATCGATTACAATTTAAAGGACTCTTCTGCCATCTAAGATATAACTACATAACACATTATTGACTACATAGACTTCTTCGGGTACTTTCCTTTAAGTGATTCAAGTCGTTGATAGGGTCTGGCACAGGTTTGCTGCGGAAGCCCAAGAACTTTTCTTTCACATCGCTCCGTACAAGCTCACCTTTCCAATACAGATCCTTGCTGATTGAAATAAATGTTGCAAAAGCCAACAAGGCATCATACGTTACCACTTTTAGTTTGTCTTGCCCACTTCTTCGTGCAATATATCGGCTAAAGATTAACATGGAATCCACATACTACACTAAAAAATGCGGAAACTGACCAGACGTTATAAAACACTTTCATGACTTCTAGAGAAAGGATCAAAACGGCTTCACAACAAACGACTCATATATAAGAAAATAAAGCTCTTTATGTATCCCATCACGCAATCCACAATGTTCATTCATTCTTTTTGTGAAAGATGTCATCAAATCCTGACACATAAAATTCCACAAATCCCTTTCGTTATACCAAAATTCCTTGACTTTAAGCTTAACATCCCGTACTATCCAGATAATCTTCCCAAGAGATTAAAGAAGCAGTTGCCTCCGCAGAACTATTGGGCAGACGGTCACGACTAGGAAGGTAACGATTTTTCGCAACCTAGTGCCAGATTTTGTAGTACCAGAATCTGGGCATTACTATATGAGAACTGACTGTTACTATATAAACTCGTCTTCTTAAAAAAAGGGTTTTAACTACCACGAATAGATAGGATTGTATTTTGTTACAAGGACACATCAATAAATAAGGCACACCCCGTTAAGCATCAGCCTAAACTTGATCTTTCAAATTGCCTTTACAGACATTTTATTACTTTAAAAAGTAATTATTCGCATAAAATGGTCCAATATCAAGATTATAGTCATTTCAGAATGGACTTACATCATATTCCACCACATTATAAGAAGATTTAATACGCAAACTGTAGCAAAAAAAGTAGATCAGTTGTTTTTGACCCGAACAGGGGTTAAACTAGTTTACAGTACTTTTTAAAATTAATTAAGGTTTTTAGTTGAGACGAAAAAAAGCTAATGGCACGAGAGGGATTCGAACCCACGACCTTCGGCTAGATACGCCGCTGCTCTACCACCTGAGCTATCGTGACCTCGATCCACTCGGACATCAACTCCCCATCTCAACCCCACCTTATGAGTTTTCCCTCCTTTTTACTTAATACTTTTTAAATTGTATTCTTAATTAAAATTCCATGGGATATGCCGGGATTCGAACTCAAACAAAAATCGCACAAATCAACCATTGAGGATGGCAAATGCCGAAACGCGTCTGACAGACTAAACCAGCCATGATAGGCAGTCCAGGAGATTTGGAAAGTGATGTGTAGCTTAAATTTTGTTATGGTCATCGATTCATCATAAAAAGTCTTATCGGTAAATCAATATTTTACTAATTTAAATCATAATTAAAAGCCAATTGATGAGAATATGACGATCCACGCAAGTAATCTAAGAAAGGTTATACGATACATATATTATTAAATCACGTTCCATTAAAATATAAAACTACAATTTTAACAATTATTCATTTACATTGTATTATTTTTGCTTAAGGTGGGTGCACGAGGGAAACATGTTGACAACCAATGAACATGGTAAATAGCTAAACGTAAATGATAACGTATAGATAGACAAGGGAATGTTAAAATCTGCTATTACCATATCTATATTAAAATTCTATAACACAATAATAAACAATAAACGAATTAGCGTCTTAACTATAAAAATACATAAACTGCACAAACAACAGGACAAGCGGAAAAATCAATTGCAAGTCTGAACGTACCAAAGAGTATTTTTTTTCTTCTATTTTTGTTTAAGTTGCTAATGATAATAGTCTCGAAATGTTAATGTAAAATGCCTTATGGTACATTTTTTCTTTTTGTTTAAGCAAACAGCCCTAAAGATTCATTTCGCAAGTATAGACACAGTATAGATTTACATGTTTATTATTATGAAGAATGTGCTAAATTCTATGGCTTTGGCTAACAGACCTATTAAATTAATTATCTGAAATAAGCTAGAATGTTATCACGCAGAAAAGGAAATTTGACGTTTAAAACATTTTGAGAAAATTATCCCAGATAAGGCAGAAGTTTGCGTGTATCCTAGCCTCATGTTAGCCCCAGGTCGGCATTCTAATTTGCCCATTCATCGTGGAAAATCGTTAAGGAGTGAAAGCAAGTGTAAAACGTGCAAAACTCCAACCATTCTTTGATTGTCTTCATGGTTCGACCAATTTTTTCCCTTTCGATATTAATATTTCAACACCTGGAATGTCGAAAGGGCCAGTTTTATTGAACCGGGGGTCATGAAGTGCCTGATACAATTCGTTCATCCGTGTAATCTCTTAGTCCGAAACCCCTCGGAAACCACTTGGGCAGAGACATCCATCCGGCCCCCATTTCAACGAGTTCATTGTTCGTAATACGCATTGTGTCAATCACTATTGAAATTAATCCACCTAACCCCCTCCTCGGTTTGGATTTAAATCAAGGGAATTACTTAATTGTTCAAACAGATAATGAAGTAAGCTTTAAATTTTAGAATCCCCGGCCCACAAACAAGCGACGCCTAGTGCTTACTTTGGTTTTTAAAATTTAATAGAAAAACACTTTTCTGTGTTTTTGAAAAATCATAACTTTTTAGACCGGATTTAAAATCGAAGTGCCGATCCTTTCAAAACAAGTTTATTCGAGCACTGTATTTAACGCAACGTCTCTATAAGCATTGGAAAAATTTGTCACATGCGATCAAACTACAGACAAACCCGAGTACTAACGTAATTACATAGTACAATATTGTTCATATTTTTGTATGTTTATTGTCATCTTCCATCGCTTGAAGAACTGCTAAAGGGATATGACGGGTTTGCAGGTATCTGGTTGATTGTCTTTGGATGTTGAAGATTGCTTAGATTGGATTCGGGTAAGAAGTCAGAATTGCAATGTCATCCGTATAGGTGGATGGTGTTAGTGAACAATTTAATTGGTATACATGATGGGACCAAGAACGCTCCCTTGTGGAACCCCGAGCTTGTATTGGCCTAAAATATACCTTCTTTATTTGTTGAGGTAACAGAAAGTAGACTGTGCATTCAATTGAAATATACAGTACTTTTTCCTCTTTCAGTCCTGTCCTTCACTTTTTCCGACAGTGTTAGAGAGGTTACTTGAATAGGATTCAGGTTAGGAGACAAAATTACTGTATCGTGCGCATATGTGGGAATGATGATAGGAATTTAAATTGTTTTTCCAATAGAGGATGCGGATAAAATTGGGACGCGTGGTTTTGTTAGTCAGGCGTTTTATAAATTTAATCAATAGGCCGAAATTAGACTGACAGTTAATAAAACTGGCCCTCGGGCCGACATCGGAGATGCAATCAGACCCAAAAACCCGTCAAACGGGGAACTGGATTGGGTCTCGAGTGGGTCGAGATAAAGTCTGACTAATTCAATTAAAAGGACGCCTCTCGCCGGTGGAGGAGGGGTTGGCCGGCACCCTTTTCCACTGCCGACTTGCAGGGCTGTCATATCACAAGTGCTGAGGGGCCGCAAGGTGCAGCTGCAATACACCCACAAAACCCGGATATAATTTAATCTCAATTTAGCGTATCGCCCCTCGCTTTTGTAACCGACCGCATTCTCTCCGCCACCCCTGACGGGGATCCGACCCGCCCGGCCGGCTTTATTAAATTCAAATTTAAAGCGGGTTCATTTGAATTAATACCGAAAGTAAAAGGGAAATATTTTTAAGTTGTAAAACCACCCTTTGTGTAAACACAGATGGATATTACACGATACTCTCGCTGAAACAACACTGGCTAATAAGCTCGGATTATATTAAACCCTATTTTTTTTCTTTACAACTGTGTACAGATTACAAATCTTTGAACTTTTACTGAATTGTTTGAATTATTCTAACAAGTAACAAGCCAGCATCTAAGCAAACACAATCACTAAATTAACACAATTTTAGATTTTACGACATTTTGTGTGATTTTCATTCCTTTAACTTCCTAAGTTGTTGTTCCTGTAAGTTCCTAAAACCACAAAGCAAATTCTTGGAATATTCAATTTTACAATTATTTGTAAGACATAGAAATCATACAAAGTAAATAAAAGTTACTACTTTATCCTAAATTTTAACTAGATAGTTTTAAGATGTACAATACACCACAATGATTAAGTTAATATATATCAATTAAGTATATAAGAAAACTAATATCCAGAGTTGTGTGTGGTTAGAGAGAGTGAGAGAGAGATTTTGGGTATTTATTTTAGACTGTAAAAGAGAGAGGGCGAGTGAAAAAGAGAGAGATAGAGTAAAACAGATAGATAGAGTTTAAGAGAAATTTTGACAAATGCATCGAGATTTTGTGTATGTGTGCGTATTTGTATCAGATTGTATAAGAGAGAGAAAGGAAGATTCAGAGAGAGAGAGAGAGAGAGAGAGAGAGAGAGAGAGAGAGAAAGAGAGATTTTGGGTATTTGTTTTAGACTGTAAAAGAGAGAAGGGGCGTGAAAAAAAGAAAGATAGAGTAAAACAGATAGACAGAGTTGGAGAGAAATTTTGACAAATGCATCGAGATTTTGTGTATGTGTGCGTATTTGTGTCAGATTGTATAAGAGAGAGAAAGGAAGACTCAAAGAGAGAGAGAGTGTGTGAAAGGAGGGAGGGAGAGATAAAAAAATCTTTGGGTGATTTTGACAAATTAATTGAGAGTACAAGATTTTGTGTATGTGGTGTGGTGTGGTGTGGTGAGTGTGTGTGTGTGTGTGTGTGTGTGTGTTTGTGTGTGTGTGTGTGTGTGCGTGCGTGCGTGTGTGTGCGTGCGTGTGTGTGTTTGTGAAAGAGAGAGGGAGAGAGAAATGGTTTATCGTAAAATGCGTATCTATTGTTAAAAAAAAGTAATCTTTCCTTTTCTCAAAAGTTTGATATCCGTCCTCAAATAATTTAATATTATTGCTCTTATAATTGATAGTTGATAAACCAAGTTCGTCTAGTGTATGATTTGATTTGCGGTTTTGGGAATAGAGCAGTAAAGATGATGATAGATATACAAATACTTACAATTCCCGGCGCTAGTCTTATTCACTTTAAAATTTATTAATTACATAATTAATTTTATAAATTGATAATAAAGAATAATTAATTAGTAATTAGGGTTTCCTTTCATCCTAGAGCTTCGGATCAGTTTGTTTGTCGGTTGCCTAGCAAAGTTCGTTAGCCCTTCGTTAAGAGGAATACTATTCTCGTGAATGACTTAAACGTTGTGTTTGCTAAGTTTATATTTAATTCATCAGTCTAGAGTTTATTTCCCCTACTTTCTGCAATCCGATAATCTTATACATTTTTTCTGTTTCAGGTGATAATACCGACATGGATTAAACACTACTTTCCGTTCCCTTTTGTTATTTCTGGTGCCTATATAGTTTATAAAATAAATAAATTTTATATTACACTGTATTAAAAATTATATCTTATATTAAAAATTAACTATTGTCCAAAAAAAAATCAAAAATGTAGATCGTTCATTATATTTTCAGACTTAGTGATTTTAGATGTACGCGCACATTTAATAAAAATAAATACAAAATTTACTCGAAGTTAATCACCTCCTGTGATAAAACAGTTTTACAGGGCTATTAGGAGAGGATGTATCAAGTGGAAGACACGTGCCTGCCACCCCATGCGGCATATGCTTCACAGCGGCATTCCGCACCCAACAAAGAACCGACAACAAGTGCTTCATTTCAAATACAATAACCACAAATTGGCCTAATAGCTCACAACACAATATGGCATCAGTGGTTCGCCTGTAATTCTAAGAGTGTATTATGCTAAACCTTCCTTGCGATAAGATCGACGTGGATGACTTGTGCTAAATTGTATAACTGAGAAAGGTCTCTATGGTACACGGTTTGAAAGAAAATCTACCCGGGACGAAATCAAGGGGGAATACTGAATTATAATACAGAGTTGAAGAATATTCATAATCATAAGCCATGACACAAATAGCAAAATCGTAAGTAATTTCCAATATGTTAGGAACATTTTACTTATGACAAATATGCCGTAAGATGGACTGAACAAGATTTACCCAGATGGGGGAGACTTAGTTAATATCCATACAAAATGTGGGTTGATTTTTTTGTCTTATTGTTAACAATCCCACGTTAATCTCCATCTTATCATATATTTGTCATAAATGAAATGTTCCTAACTAAAAATTTGTAAGCACGATTTTTCTATTTGTGTAATCATGGCTTAAGGAATACACCCTCATGACATAAACCACCTGAATACATTTTCTGCCTATTAAAATATGATAAACCAACGTAAAATTACTGGCCTTTTTGTAATGAAATTAGCTTGTTTAGAGATAAAATAGATTGTATCAAAATAGTTGTTAGACGTCCTAAAGTTGTGCATTTTTTAAATTCTGACGTAATAATTTTTATACTAAATCCATCGGCGGATCTGTATATCAATTCTTTTTTTAAACCTCTCCAATTTGCCCGCAGGATTTAGGGGTGGCGCGTTAGGCAGGATTGACGCAAGCAGCTGACGCCTCGCCCACACACATTGTGCATAATCCCCGTCGCAGGGGTACAAGTGCTCCATCCGAATTAAGCCCATTCTTTCTTCCGCCATACATAATTTGAATGTCCCCTTATCTCGGATCAGCCAGGTGAAGGTATCCATTGTACCTCCGGCTCCACGTCTGGGCAAAACCAATAAACCGATGGTGTTTTGTTTAACGAGTAAAACGAGTAAAGGAAAATATCGGATTATGGTTTGCAGATTGTAATCAACACGGTCCGTCTATACTCGCTGTTTTTACTTCAACTTCAATTATTGGTGCTTGTCACACGATGGAAATATTGTGTTACAAACAAGTTTATTATTAATTCATATTAATTTTTAAAAAATTAAGATTCCTCTGCTGGTTCCACTAAGTTCCGCTGTTAACCTTCAGTCAAAGGTTCATCCGAGTGGATCGAAGTCAGATAGCTCAAGTGGTAGAGCAGCGGCGTATTTAGCCGAAGGTCGTGTTCGAATCCCGATCGTGACACTAACTTTTCATTTCAACCAATACCTTACATAACATTAATTAATTGAAAGAAGTAATGTGGTCAATCGGACCACGAAATATAACGGATTTAATAAGTTCAACAATGGCCATCTTATTAAGGATTAATAGGCCAAATTGAACAGCTCATCTTTAAGCAGTCTACAGGCATGTCCTAGCTCCTTAAAGACTCTGAGCAATGGGGCTCTCTCTGCGAGTAAATACATTTCATAAATTCGTAGATGTAAAATCCCTTATATTAAAATTTTTGCCAAAATACAAGGATCGTTATAGCCAGGGAATCAATTGAACAACTGATGAATAGTCTTTCAATCCAATCCATGTAATTGGGCACTTGTGTTACATTCACCTAAGTCCTGACCTTGCTCCTTTAGACTACCATCGCTTTGAAGCAATGACTTAATTTAAAAACATTTCGTACATTTGTAGACGAAAAACGGAGTATGGGGTTTGTTTTTCATTGAAAATGCAATGATTGTTATCGCCATGAAATCAGGGATTGAAAGTTTCCTTGCAACTATCTGTTGTTCTGTCGACACTCCATCAGACTTCTACCTCTTCTGAGCAATGGCCCTTTCTTAAGCTAAAAAAAAAGCCTGACTCCTCCACACTGCGTTCTTTAATCCCTTTCTTTGGTTAAACAATTGCAAACATTAGTAGAAGAAAGAGCTGGAGTAGGAGGTTTTTCATTTTTAAAAAGGTATCAGAGAATGGAACTGTTTCCTCTTGACGCGGAGAGGATTGTTCTATTGTCGCCCCTTCAGACTACCACTTCTTCCAACAAAGAGTAACTTTCTTAAGTAAATAACATTCATACATTGGTAGTCGTGCAGACTTTCAATCCAATCCAAGAAGGAAAGGGGTACCGTCAGCCTGTAGACTGCATACCGCACCCGCCACTTTCGAGGTCATGCCACCCCTTTCAAGCAATGACACTTTTTTGGCTAAAAACATTTCATACATTGATAGTCATAACAATTAGTTTAGTACACTTTCCAATCCAAGGAATAATATCTTCGGGAATGGAGCAGCTAGCTTGTAGACTGTTTGTACCGCACCACTTATGTCCTGACCTCTTTCACGATACTTTGTATACCCAACGACGTTTTTTAATTTGATTTGTGTTTTCAAAGGTGTGTTTACGCTTCGATGGCATGAAACTCTTCAGTTTTACAAACTTTTGATCTGAATCTATTTTTCGCCTCGCTGACTCTTATTTTCTTTTACGATTTAACTGATTTTCGTGAATAAAACTTGAAATACCATCAAGTGATATTCACAGAAAATAATTTTGCAATTGGCTCTATTATTCACGATGAATTACTTCTGTGAGTATGTTGATTATTAAGTGTGATTCCCTATTATAAAGAGCGGGGGTTCCTTTGACAATTTGGACGATCCCAAAAGCAGATAATATTGAAAGAAAGCGGTGATTAAGTCAGGTGCATCGGTATTAGTCACCGACCGATCCAGTGTATAGGGGAGGGGCTTATTTTATTAAAAACTATTACAGCAAGAGGGTTGGTCGGATGCTGTGGGGTGTCCACCACAATATGCCCTCTCACCCCCTTGTACAGCACCTCCTCACCCCTCCACAGTAATTGTACAAACTAATATATAATGAGCTGAGTATAGGGCGGCGTATTCATTCTTGAATCTGTCACGAGTGCGTCCAGACGCAGGTCGGAAAATGAAAGTCGTCGCGGGTCAGGATCTACCTCAAGGAGCGACCTCTTACGACATATCTATCAACCCCGTCTCATCTGCATTAACAACAAAAGTAAGTACTTTAAATTTCGTTAAGCACTTTCAACCACTCAGTTTTCAAGTCATCATTTTCTTTAACTTAATTGAAACCTTCAAGCATATTGTAGGTTTCTACAGCAATAGCTTAAGGTATGACCTATGGTCATCTTACTACGTCAGTAATGTCCAATATCACAAGAAAGCTCTGTAGACTCATGGTTTTAGTTTGAGGGATTCCTTCAAAATTGGTTAGGATTAGGATTGGTCTTGCCGGTATATCCAAGGTCGATTAGCTGGCAAAAAATCTGAACACTAACTGGTTATCATTTGATCTAACATAAACTTGGAGCTTTTTACTTATTTTTAATTTGTTTTATGGGCCACCTAGGTTGTTGTTTAACTTAACTTTGCTAACTTGTTTTATGGTTTGCAAAGACATTCTGAAAGCGATCGTGCACAACAGTATTAAGATAATTGTGAATTATCTTGGGATAAAACTTTACTTTGCATAAAAACTTCAAATCGAACTTTAAGATTGTTGATTTGCAATGAAATCATATATTTACACAAATCTATTGATATTAAATAAATGAAGACTGGCAAGAATGCTAGGACCAAATTAATCTACTAGTAAAGAATTTTCATAAATCAAAAATTATTTAGATAAGGCTAAGAGTAAGTAGATCGGTAAAACACTGTTTTTTGTTTATTTTATGTAATATTGATTATTCTGTTTTCAGGTTATTACCCTTAAGCAAACAGCTCAAGGAAGGATAACATGCGGTGATGATGAAACCCTGGTCCACCACATAAAATTTTCGGACGACATCCACGGTTGCAACTGTGTCCTTGAGCGAGGATCTATCGCAGGTACAGTCAGATTGCACACGACCAGAACCATCCGGAAAGGAGACGAGATGTACATGTGGTTTACCCAGGACCTCCTTGCCGCAATGGACATACCATTCCTTAACCCGATAAACATATTAGGCGAGAAGAACTACACGTGTCATCGGTGCGGGAGGACATTCGAATTCCCCAACCCCCTCAAGATCCACCTGGGCCTGGACTGCGGCGTTCTGAAAAGGAGGGATCTATGGAAAAGACTACGGGCTTCACTGTCGATAAATGCCCCGAGAGAAGGGCCAGAGTTTATTTTCAGGCTGTCACTCAAAAAAAGAAAACCTGCTTTGAGCGATATCAAAAATTATAAATCGCCTTCGCCCGTCTTCAGCTCTTATTCGAACCCGTCTCCGGACCGATGCGAACCTCAGACCGAAGAGACACGCCCCTCGTCGGAACCGCCCAGGAGCTCGGCATTCAGACCTTATCTTAACCCTCCACCGACTGAAGAATTCAAAGAAATATCCCTTTTTGAAAAAGAACCCATGATGAACGTGGAAAGAGTCCAAATTCCCGAGCTTGTCACCAAAGAGCACTACCTAAACCAACAAGCCGCCGAAATCGAAACGCTCGTGAGCAACCTCGGCCAGTCGAAACAAGGCCATCTGTGCCTTTACTGCGGCAAGATCTATTCAAGAAAATACGGGCTAAAAATCCACATCAGGTAATTTAAAAACTCTTAAACCAAAACAAAGACAATATTATATCTATAAAATTTGCAGGACGCACACGGGGTTTAAACCGCTCAAATGTAAATTTTGCCTGAGGCCGTTCGGGGACCCCAGTAACCTAAATAAGCACGTCAGGTTGCATGCAGATACTGATACTCCGTATAGGTACAGGAAATGGTTAATATTCAAAATTTGTTCCTGTTTTCAGGCGAGCTAATTATAATCGTACTTTTCCAGATGCAGGCTCTGCGGAAAAATGCTTGTCAGGAGGAGGGATCTGGAAAGGCACATGAAATCGAGACATGACGTCGAAGAAGATTTCTAAAAAAAAAATGAATTATTGTCTAAACCACCAAAAACTCAACAAACAGTGATTCCTTGTATACTAGTCTTTGTTAGTGAATATTTGTAAATACTGTAAAAGTTTTATCAAAGAAATTATTTTTTTATATAACTATGATAATTTATAAATTAGCCTGTATCATCGTTCCATTATAATATTTTTATTTTTCCATTGGCTTATTTACTTCTTTAAAGGCAAAATATGACAGGCTTCACTGCTATTAAATTAATATCAAAAACAACTGAAGAAGCAAAAGATATTTAAGTAATGCATGCAACTAAGGACCTAGACTACATATACGCATTTTCAAGTTCCAAGACAGAATAACCCCGAGTGGTTGGTTAATTGATTATAATGTATGATTTGGGTGAATGCAATTATTTGACCTTCATTCCATATTGCAAATAATAACAAAATACATAAGTCTTAAAATCTTTTTGGTGTAGCTATGAATAAGATTATGAACATTGACCAAGACAAAAATCAAGCAAAATATATCGATATTTAAAAGGTAACATTCATATATTATACTAAAGAGCAAAGTAAAATAAAAAAGTGTGATATAAAATAATATAGGTATTTAATGTAAGTTTAAAGCCCTCAGAGAACCTGAGCCAGAAATGAGTAACCATCCTTACCCAATTAAAAATAAGTCATATGTGGTTGACACATGGACCCCTGCTCCTGGACCAGAGCATGCGTAAGTGCCCCTTATAAAAAGAAAGGTTGTTTGACGTGTCCAGCATAATAAAAGCTTGTCATGCCCTGGTTCCTTGCAGGGAGCATGAAGTCATGCTGCCGAATTTATGAATAGTTCTCAAGCACAGTAGCAAGTTGCTGGATCCGGTTCCTCTTTTTGGATGGTATGGATTTTTTATTGTATATAGTTCTGTTTTATGTGTTTTGTGATTATGTGTTTTGTTCGAGTACTGTGATTGATGAGGGGCTGATGGTGAAATATAGCTTCCACCCTAGTGTCTGCTTAGATGCCTTCAATTAATGTTATACAAAGGAAGAATATCGAGTACTCCATTAACTAATAAGGAGTGCATATGTTCATAGATGTGAATGAATTTATTTGAGTGACTATACTAGAGAAGTTAGTTTTAGGCTAGATTATATTTTGCATGTGAAATGACCTAACTGTTGAAAGCCCCCATTCGAATCTAACCCATATTGGTTGGGAAGCATGATCTCCTAGACATTTGGCTTAAGGGACATAGTGACAACCCTTCACAGTGAAAGTTTAATATAAGTTTAAAATGTAATAAATAAAGTGACCTGACAATGTGGGAAAATGTAAGAGAAATGGTTGGGAGTAAGGAAAGGAAGAATGGAGGATTATAACTTAATATTTCTATAACAGCAGCCTTGAAGAGCTGGAAGGCAATGATCACAGTGCCAAAGGAAGGCCATTCCAGCCTTGCATAGCGATAAGCCTTTAAGCTAGAATACTTTAAACTAGAGGGCTAAATGCTTGCCCTCAGCAAATAGGCTTTATATATATATAACAACTTGTAACAACTAAATAAATATTTTAATTTATAAATAATTTCTTAAACAAAATTAAATATCTATATTAGAAAGTCCATTTTATTGACCCAAATGCCATCTGACCAAATCAAATCTACTGCTGTTGTTGCATTATAAATCTATTAATAAGCTAAATTTTAAATTATTTTCTAAATAGGAATATACAAAAAATTTATTGCTATAAATAAATTTAAAAATTGGTTTTAAATTGAGAAAACACATGTACTTACTACACTCATGGCTAAGTTTAAAACATATCTTACATACTTATTACAGGGATACAAAATAAAAATATAAATAAACGGCATCCATAAGTAAAAAATGGAAAAATCAGAGACTTTATAAGTAAAGTTTGTAAGTAGAGGGGAATGCTTTACTAATTGATCAATTAACATATTTCCAAGTTTCTTTAGAGAATCAGAAAAAGATTGCAATATTTTGGATAATAATCCTAGGTAAGTCACCGATAATGAGTTTTTTATTATAAACAACAATTGCTTCTGTTCTGGTTGGATAATTATTTAAGAAATTATTTTTGTACATTCAGATATGTGGCTAAATTCAACGTTAAAATTGAAGAGGGACAGACCAGCGTAATATAGCTGATATCATCTGCATATAGATGGAACGAAAGGGAAATAAAAGAAGAATGTACATTGTACAAGGAAAATAGTTTACTAGGACCTAAGATAGACCACTGTGGAACTCCAGAATTAATAAAACAAAGTCAGATCTTTTGGAGTTATAACTTGTGAAGTTCTCAAATATTAAATCAAAAATTAAAAGGGGTAGAATTGAAATTAACTTTTTGGTGAAGCTTGGTTATCAAGAAGACTATGGTTGATTGATCCATTTGCATGTATTTGCATTTGAGAAATAAAGCAATACTAAAGTACATAATGTTTTTTAATTACATGTCCACAGATGTCTTCTGTTACTCTCAGCAATACTGTCCAACAATTATCAATTAAAAATACTACTAATAAAATTCAATGGTAAAGCATCAACCTGGTAATTGTAAGTATGTAGTAAACTCTTTTGATTTATTTACATTAACATTCAATTAATATTTATTTATTCTGTCATGAGTAAGGTGAGGTTATGAAATGCAAATAAGATACAGTTTGCAGTCCTCATGAGATGAAGGAGAGGGCTATTGAAAAGGTAGTTTTGCTTGATGTAAGAGACAGTTGTTATAATTAGTAATGAACCAATTTCTTTTGTATGTCAAGTCTTCTAAACTAGAAGATGCAATAGATTTTCTTCAAACAGAAATTATTCACTGCTTATTTAGAAATTGTGAGATGCGGTCTGGTGAGATGTAGGTTTCAGAAAAACATTTTCTTTATCGTGCCAACGTTTTGACCTTTATTGAGATCATCTTCAGGGCCTGGGATTTACAAACACATGTAGGATGTGGAAAAAAGTGAATTTATACAATGAAAAAATATATTTTTTATATTCAATCAAAGTATTTCTATCACTCAAAGTGTTTGTTTTCTATCTCAACAGTTTAACTTATGATTTTTCATTCTTAAAGGTGGGGCAATAGGTCAATATTATGTCATTATCATGACCTATTATCCCACCTTCAAGAAGGAAAAATCATAAGTTATGTTTGTTTTCTGCGTAAGTGTGCCATTCTTGCGTGTCGTGTTGAGAGTGCCAGTGTCTCAACATGGCACGCAAGAATGGCACATTTACGCAGAAAACAAACACTTTGAGTGAGTAGAAATACTTTGATTGAATATAAAAAATATATTTTCTGCATTGTATAAATTCACTTTTTCCACATCTTACATGTATTGTTAAATTTAAACAATGTATTGTATTAAACAATGATTTGTAAATCCCAGGCCCTGAAGATGATCTCAATAAAGATCGAAGCGTTGGCACAATAAAGAAAATCTTTTTCTGAAACCTATATCACACCAGACCACATCTCACGATTTCTGAATAATTATCGACTAACGGTCAATAATCACCACACATTATTCACTGCACAAGGCTCTGAACTTGGGATAGAATTAACCTACATAATGCTTTTTAGTTCTGTTCACAAATAGAAGGTGGACAAAGGGTAGGCTAAAAACGCATTTTATTAATAAGATTTTACAATTTGTTGAAGTCGTCAAGAATGAGGTAGTTTAGAAGAACACCTTTTTCATTTTTTGCCGACGTTTTGACTTTTATTCTGGTCATCTTTAGGGCATAAAGAGTAGTGCTATTCTTGTGGTATCATATTGGTTTTGTGTGAAAGTGTTGTGACAAAACCAATATGACACCACAATAATAGCACCACACTTTATGCCCGGAAGATGCCCCGAATAAATGTTGAAACGTTGGCAAAACAATGAAAAAGGTGTTTTTCTAAAATACCTCATTCTTGACCGCTTCTCACGACTTCAACCAATTGTGAAACAACGTTCAATAAGAACACACATAAGATTTTACTAGTAAAAAGCACTTAACTCTAACTAATCTGAAATGAAGTACATTGCATATGAAAGCTGGGGAGCGCATCCACAGAATACTTAAAGCTATGAATGATTGCCAGCCAACCACTGATCAGTTGCACTGTGGACTGCTAGGGAACGATGAAGAGGATCAGGCAGCCAAAAGAAAACCTCTGAATTAGATAGTTATAAGAGATACATTGTTCCCTCTGCAGAACTGCTCACTACAGCAAAAAGTCTATTATAGAGGAGTAGCAAGACTAGGGCAAGCATTCTGTTAATAAGGGAAATTTCCATTTGAAGTCCTTGCCAAAAGTAAGTCTCTCGTAGGTACAGGAGTACAGGATCAAGAAGAATCAATTTAAATCATGATATATCCTTCTATGGTCTGCGGAGTGATGAACCTGAAAATTGACCCTTGCCATCTTGTCCTCCTATCCACGCTGACACTGAAGACGGCAAAATGTTGAAACACATCTGACAGACTAAACCATAGTAGATAGAAAGACCAAGAAAACTGATAAGGATCAACTTACAGAACCAATATATTTTCTTTGGTGATTGATCAGCCTTCTCAGCAAGCAATATTTTTCTTTCCAAAAGGTAGATTGGAGATGAGGCCAGGAAGACAAAAACAACATTTATTTTCTTGTCGAGCTTATGGCAGCCTTCCTCAGGACTTCGAAAAAAATTGTTATACTATATGAACAGGTACATGTGTGGATAATGGAGCGGTTCTACCAGCTATCCGATATCCACACATGTACCTGTTCATATAGTATAACGATTTTTTCAAAGTCCTAATGAAGGCGATTGTATGAAGGACTTTGCTCGTTCTATTGCAGATGAACTTTGTTGTACTTTCCATAATTCACTATTCACTGATCCATTGTATGCGATGACTTTACAATCTACAGAATTCTCTGATTTTATCTGATTAAACATTTTCAAGTTCCTGTCGATCAAACCGTTACCTTTTCTCACCCTGTTCAATTTTACTATATTGGTTCTTTCCAAAAGGTAGATTGGGGATGAGGCCAGGAAGATAGAAACAACATTTATTTTCTTGTCGAGCTTTTGGCAGAATATATCGCCTTCCTCAGAACTTCGAAAAAATCATTATACTATATGAACAGGTACATGTGTGGATAATGGATTGGTTCTACTAGCTGTCCATTATCCACACATGTACCTGTCCATATAGTATAACGATTTTTTCAAACTCCTAATGAAGGCGATATATTCTGCCGAAAGCGCGACAAGAAAATAAATGTTGTTTCTGTCTTCCTGGCCTCATCCCCAATCTACCTTTTGGAAAGAACCAATATAGTAAAATTGAACATGGTGAGAAAAGGTAACGGATTGATCGACAGGAACCTGAAAATATTTAATCAGATAAAATCAAAGAATTCTGTAGATTGTAAAGTCATCGCATACAATGGATCAGTGAATAGTGAATTATGGAAAGTACAACAAAGTTCATCTGCAAGAGAACGAGCAAAGTCCTTCATACAATGGCGCAATCTACCTGATCTGATAGGACCGAAGACCTAAAAGCCCCCTATCCTTTGCATTTCATTGTCAAAGAAAAAATATTTATCAAACGGTTTTATTTTCTTACAAAAGTAGAGACATGACATAATTGGTGCTTACCCAGAGTCATATAAAAGAGCAGTGCAGGAAGAGGTGCATTAAAGTTAAGTTTTGATTATTTAAGGGTTAGCAAATGAAAATAATATAAAACCAAATGTGTAAAGAATAAGTATATCATTAAGTTTTTATTTTAAAGAAAGTTCTTACTCACAGTTTGTTGTTTTCATCTTTCCGGATTTCAAGCTTAAAGCTCATCACAGGTTGAAGGAGTTACAGGCATATCTCACGACATGAACTGACATGAAGAATGAACCCGCCGATCACCCGCCAACGCTTGGGACGTTCCAATGAGAAGCTCGTTTTAATGCCGCCTTATTTTAAATATGCGAAAAAACGTTAATTACAACACAACTAAATATTATCTTAATAAAGAAATAATTTTAAATTAGTGATTAATTTATATATCAAATATTATTTAGGTACATGATTAAAATAGGAATTAGAGCAAAAACTGTATTAGTTATGCATTTTATCTCCACGTTTAATTTTACATTTTTGAATTTCAAATTTCTCAAACCAATCTAGTTCCCTCCGATTGTTGAAACGGTCTACCACTGCTGCATTTAAATTTAAATTGTGTTTTGTTTCATTTATATGATTGTTAAATTTTTTAAAAAGAATTGTTCGAAATTGGCAAATTTTTTTTAAACTCTCGTTTTCATTTCTCTGCCGCTTTTTCCAGTATATTTAATATTACAATAATTATAATTAAGTTGGTAAACCTCGCTTTTGGACAAGTTGTCAACCTTGTTTTTAGGTTGTGAGAGAATGTTTCTAAGTGAAAACGAACCATTAAAAGCTGCTCTAAAAAAGCTTTAAGCTTGAAATTCGGATAGTTGAAAACAGTAAGTAAGAACTTTCTTTTTTAAAAAAAACTTAAACAACATGCTCACCCCATTTTTATCATTTCTGTCACATAAGTTGTCATACAGTATATCTAGATAGTGAAAACTTTATAATAGTAATAATGAAGTCAAATATGATGTACTTCAATGATCCATTTTAGGACCTATATTTTTTGTGATATATTTAAATGGATTAAAAGGTTTCGTAAATAGTACAGATAATGGTTGTTTTGAGATCGTGAGATGCAGTCTGGTGTGATATAGGTTTTATAAAAACATTTTCTTTAACGTGCCAACGCTTCGATCTTTATTGAGATCATATTCAGGGCTCAAAGAGTTTATTTTCTGTGTAAATGTGTCATTCTTGTGTGTCGTGTTGAGAATACAGATAATATTTCCCTCTTCCAACTAGCTGACGATACTAATTTTATTAGTACAGGTTTCCCAAAACATTTTAGTCAGCGGATCCCTTTCCCAGTACAAAATCCCAGGTGGACCCCTCTCAGTTAAGTATTTAAAATTAGATAATTATACTATATGTAGTAAATTAAAGTTTTATAAATTAGCCAGTCCATTCCTAATTAATAGAGAGGGATATCACTCTGAAAATAAACTTTAGATTGACATACTTAACAATATTTAAAAATCCGAGACACAAAAACTGTATGGAACATTGGACAGAACTTAATGAATAATGATTGAATTTATGGGAAGAGTGAGGTTGTTTTAGCCTACGAATTTGGATATATTGGGTTTAATTTTTGATTAAGATTGATGTCGGATTCAGCATCTAGAGCTTTGGTATTTAGTTTTGGTGACTGTATAGATAGAAAATCCAGATTCGCCTAGGAAGTTGTGGAAAATGGAAGAACCATTGCTTTTCAACAAGCTGTTGAAATTTTTTGTTTTCCAGACGGAG